ATCGGTCAGGCAGGTCGATGGTGGAGTCGGAATCCGGCTCCTGCAGATCGGTAGTATCCTTGTCTTTGGAGTGACCAGGACGATCACTCTTTGCTTGGGACGAGCTGGGTTGAAATTGGGGTTTGCGGGGGGTAAAGTAGGGATCGGAGGAAGAGTGGCGGCGCCGGTGGGAAAACGAGGTGTCGGAGGAGCGATGACGATCGCGATGATGATGAGGAGTCAAAGAGTCGATGGTTGTGTCGCTATCGTCCGTTTCATAACCAGGGTCAATTGGGCGCTCCTCCGCGTTGAGGTCGAAGGCAACAGACTTGGGCTGAGGGGGTTGACTGGCTGCGCGTGCGCGATCTCTGGGAGTATGCGGACGCGGTGTTCTCAACGGCGACGGAGGTTTATCTACACCTGGGGGTTTCTGATTAGCGACCAGTTTCTTGAATGTCAGGGATTTAATCTATCCCTAGACCCACCATCATGCATGGGATACTGGGCAGTAGAGGGGGGAGAGTTCCATGCAGCACTCACATTCTCATCCGCCCTCCGGGGCCGGGGTGCGTACCGGTCCGGTCTTGGCTCGGGGGGATAACCGTAAGGTTGCGCTGGAGGGACTGCTCCTGGTGGAGGAGGGTAATCGGCCGGATTGTATGGCGCGGCGGGAGCGGGGGGAGCTGGTGTAGAGCCAGGAGGTGGAGGGAAGTAGTTGGAGTTGGGATAGTACGGATTCTCTCCAGGTTGTGTTGGTGGCAGGGGCGACGGCGGGTATGGAAGGTCCGAAGGGTACGACGAAGGGTACGAGTCATCGTCGTACTCTAGAAGGAACGGTCGTTAGTCTCCCGAATCAGCAGATCGTTCGTGTATTTATTGAGCTAAAACTTACTTGACCGTTCTCTGTCTTCCTTCTTGCGATCCCTGCTCTGCTTGTACTTGTGAGCGGCATAGCCGACTCCAGTGGCAGCCAAAGCGGCTTCGGCCAAATCACGAGAACGGCTTCGGTGCTTGCGACGCCGGCTGCTTCTTCGTCGTCGATGGCCGTCTCTGTCGGTATCAGAGGAGCTGGTGCTATACCTACCGCCTCGGCTGCGACTGCGGCTACGACTGCGACCACGGAATCCTGCTGCGTCCCGGGCTACTCGGTCAGAAGCATCCGAGTAGTAACCCTGTTGACTAGCAGGCCGGCCATAGTAATGGGCTGCAGGGATGCTCCCGGTAACCGGATGTTGGCCGTACTCGATCAGACCAGCCGAATCGCGGGCGGGATCCGGGTAGGCCTCGGACGGGGCCCTGCTTCGGGATCTGGAACGACGTCGCTCCCTTCGCTTTCCGTCCTCTTCCTTCTTCTCCTTGTTCTTTTCGTACAGGCCAGTGACGGCTGCGGTTCCCAGCCCGGCCGCAACGACAGGGAGCGCCTGTCTGAGTCGGCTGTGAGAACGGGACCCCTTTCGAGAGCGCGACCGGCTGCGAGCTCTCTCTACCAGACCGGCCACTGCGGCACCAGCCAAGCCAGCTTCGGCCATATGTTTCTGAATCCGGGATTGGCTGCGTTTCTCACTCTCGGCATCTTTCCCGGGTCGAACGGCACTGGAGGACCGGCGGTGTCGGGAGCGGCTTCGTCTGTCGCTAGTCGACTTCTTACGAGCCAGAGCCATGGCACCGGCAATGGCAGCGGCACCAAGGCCGATCTCCGTCAACGTCTTGGCACGAGAGTGAGAGTGCGAGCGGCTGCGACTGCGGCTGCGACGGCTGTGGCGGCTATGGCTATGGCTGTGGTGATGATGGTGATGGTGACGGGAGCTGCGATCATCATCATATGAGTGGGAGCGGTGACGGCTCTTGCTGCGGTAGTAATCGCGAGCACGTGAAGCAGCACTCACGGCAACAGCGCCCAAGGCGCCGGCACCCACGTCGTGACCGAGACGGCTGAGGCCCGAAGACACGTCGTCACCTTCCTTCTTTCGACGATTGCGAATCAGTTCTGCAGCGCCGATACCGACCAACGCACCCTCCGCAAGGTGGCGTCGATGATGGGGGTGATCGTCGTATTCACGGGTCTCTTTGCGAATATAGACCATGCTATCATCACTGCTGTAGTCTTGGTCGTCCCGACGACGACTGGTCTGAGAGATGGAGTCGCCAGGACTGAGCTCGCGGCGGAGGCGACGGTCATCGTCATATTCGCGGACCCGGCGATGATAGTAGTAAGCCGGCTCCCGTTCTACCTCGGACCGGTGGACAACCTCGTAGTCGGATTCACGGGGGTGAACAATGAGGGGCCCTCGCGCTACATAAATTAGGGTCAGAATTACTCGACCTAAACTCGTACATTGGGACTCACCATCATAGTAGTCTCTTTCAGAGCGGTAGTCGTACGGGCGTGTGTCATAGTCGATCTCTCGCTCGTAACGTTGCACCATGACGGGTTCTTCTCGCTCAGTAGAGCGGCGGACTACCAATTCTCGATCACCAGTGACGGGGTCTTCGCGACGGTAGACAGTTTCACGCTCTCGATCCTCCTCTGAAGGTATGACGTAACGCTTGATTGATACGCTGGAGGAACGAGGCTCGTCCCACTCACGATCTCGCTCGCGTTCTCTGTAAATGTAAGATGACATGAGGATGAAATTCGTTCACGACGACAAGGGAAATAGAAGTAAGAGTAGACGGGGTAAAAAATGAGAGAGAGAAAAATGGGTCAATCGAACAGAACGAAAAGAGAAATAGAAGTGCCTGGAAGAGGGAGGGGGGCGAGGAAAGGGAAGTGGGGAAGATCGGTGCTGACGAAAGTGATGATCAATCAGGCTGTGAGACAAGGCTGATGGAAGACCCGGGCTGTCGGGCGTCGAGTCAAGTGCCAGTGAGTCAAGGGGGGCAAGGATAAGGTATGACAGGATATTCGATGATGAAAAGAATTAAGATTCAATGTATGATGATAGCAGGGAATGAGGGATGGTAAGCGCCAGTCTGGGTAGGGTAGCTACAAAGAGGGGTTTCTTGATGGGTATGAATGAAAGAAGCGGGGGGGCTGATGCACAACGAGAATTGAAAGAAGATGGAAAATAAGATATGTGAGACGTGGTGGGGATTTGACGATGCAGGTGGTAGAGTTGATGAAAACGATGATATGATGATGATATTGTTGAAGGGAAGAGTGAGGAAGGGAAAACACACGAAGCCAACTGCGATTAGAGGTACATACAGTAGGGTCTAGTACCTACCTTAGTAGTGCTGCAACCTGTCTGCAAGTGATGAGGTCCCTAGACGAGACAAGCCGATGTGACTCGCTGATTGACACGCGCAGTCGATCTCACGTTGTCAATCCGAGAATCAACTTTTATCAACAATCAAAAGAACAGCAAGTGTCAATAGAACAATAAATAGTATGCGATAGGCAGTCTCAAGTCTTCCTTAGATCGGCTCAGTAGTATTTATATTGTGTTCTGAAGATGGAGAGGTCCCCACTAAGCATGACTTCATCATTGACAAAGATAGTGGCTGAGGATTGCGCCCGAGAGATCCGCCTTCTCCTTGGTGATTTAGCAATCATCATCTTGAATGAGGAAACTCGTATTGGGCACTGTTCAATGATGATCACCGGGCTTCTTTAAGCCTCATTCATTGTGTTTCATTCATGATGTTTCGATACGTTGAGTGTCTGGGACCGGTGGAGTAGAAATCTCGGATTTGATCCATGGGTGCCCTACTGCCTTGGAGATGGTGCCTGAGGTTACCACAGCTTCTTTGCCAGCAAACCATGGATCTGGATGTACACAGTACTCAGAAATGGCAATATTACTAAGGTGCTCCGTAGAAGGTCCTTCGAGGTGAAGTGGAAGTTTCACAATCTCCCTGAAAATGATCCGCAGCAGGCAATATTGAACATGACTGTCCCTTTCTCAAGGTGGTCGCTGTCTTCTCCTTCTCTGTCATCCATCCCATTTAACTATCTATTCTTTTGTCATCTGCAAGATCCTCCTCCCCTACAGATTGACTCTTTCATCAGTTTATCATCTAATAATCAAAGTCCTATGGTATTTCTCAGTTGATCATTAGCGATGATTTTGCCCACCACGGCTACATCGCTTATTGCTCCTCATTTGCTTTTAGCAGCGTTGAAGTTGACAACCCTCAATCCTGTTCGAAACTAGCAGGTCTCTGCCTATTTATCCAGAAGCATGCCTTTACCACTAGGATGAAATATTCTTGTCTCATATTCATGTCTGAAACAGAACACAAGTAATAATGTGTATCGGTGAGTCTACATTCTAGGAGTACCCCTCTCCTCGGGATTATATATCGACCTCTTCATCATTCCTTCTCTCTCTTCCAAGGCTTTCGGTTCCCTCCCAAACAATGCATTTCATGATCAAACAAAAAAAGATTGTTGTAGTCTACCAGTCACACTCAGACTTGGTTGAGCTCTCAGGCATTCTATTCCTTCAATTGGCAGTCTTCTAGAAGGCATTCTCATGGTGGGGTACTCCGCCCTGCCTTGGCGAGCGACTTTTCTGGAACAATTCTCTAGTCTACATAGTATTTAAATTCCTAGGTCTGCCGCCTAAGGACCACCACTTCCCAACAGGGCTCTATGCGCATAGTTGCCAGTGTTATTTATGAGGTTTAGCAAATTGTAGCAGCCTCGTCCACCTACAGGCGGAGCAAACTAATGCAGTTGCTGACAATGCCATCTGAACTCTGAGTTCGCCCCGGTGCCCGTGTCACGGCTGTTCCCTTGCCCGTGTGCTAGTGGCTATGCTTGTAAATGGAGGACCCCTGTGGCATAGCTCATAAGGCTTGAGGGTCTGATCACTTTTCATTCCGCAGATGCACATCCCTCCATGGTTCAACGTTCCATACTGGGTATATACAGTGTAATGTACTGAATTTCTGCTTCCAGCCTGAGCATCGCCACACGTAGTATCTAATCCCGTCCAGTATAGTAGTAATTGCTGGTGTAGACTTGTCTGACAGAGTCTGAAGTGCTACGTCTTACGGAACTGACTGGATAACATCTATACGCGAGGCTCCTCCCGTTCTCCCCTCTTTTCAAATAAACCCTCAATCTTCTCCAGACTCTGCCCTTTTGTCTCCGGCATCAAGTAACAGACTGCCGCAGAAACGATGGTGGCAAAGCCGTAGAGAAAGTATGGACCGCTGGGTGACGACCGTAGGAACAGAGGAGCCGTGAGAGTCACAATGAAATTCATGATCCAGTTAGCGACCAGTTCCAAGGCGCAGACCTTGGCCCGAAGCCTGGTAGGGATAATCTCGGAGGCGTAGATTTTGCCAACCTATACGGTGTTATTAGCAAATTGATTATCCATACCTGTAATACCCGGTTCTTTTCTTCACTCAGAGCATTGAAGAACTTACCACGGCCCACGACCAGGAAAAGTTGGCCACAAATACATATATCAAAACAATGACTACCCACTGTGCTGCGGTCGAGGTGAGAATGACTGAATCCGCAGTGGAGTGACCATATCTGGCATATAGTGACCCTGTAACAATGAAGCAAATCGCCATCACCAATCCTCCAATAACAAGGGGCATCCGGCGCCCCCACCGGTCAATCCAGATCTGAGCGGGAACGGTGCAGACTAACATCACGATGCCGGTGACACCCGAGGAAAGAAACGAGGCCTTTTCGGAAGTGAAACCCGCTTGTCGGAAAAGGATTGGGGCGTAGTATAAGACAACGTCGATCTGGCTCCCCATTAATATCTGGTTCACACATAGGGCCAAACGAATAAAGCCAAAAATGAAAAATACTTGCCCCAGTCAATTGTTGGAAAGACATTAGGAAGATCCCAAGAGACGTTCGGCTAATATACTTTCGACCAAAAATCTCTGCCCAGCTGGCAACCGATTTGTGTCTATCTGACTGTAAGCTCTGCTGGATTTCACGTAGCTCGGCGTCAACTGCTGTCGCTGTCCGTAACTTGCTCAAGACACGCCTTGCATCATCGCTTCGGCCGGCCTGGACGAGCCACCGGGGCGAGAAAGGCAGGAGCAGCAACCCGAGGGAGAGGATAGCTGCCATGACCGCTTGCACAATGAACGGCAATCTCCAGGCCATGCTGCCTGATAATTCATGAGATCCATATGCGATAAAATACCCAGTCATGATCCCAACTACCACGAAAAGCTGCAGGAGACAGGCAGTCACCCCACGGATATCCGCCGTGGCGATCTCCACGAGATAGACCGTCGCGACGGAAATGGCTTGGCCCATTCCCATTCCCGTGATCAGACGGCCGACGATGAGAGCTGCGAAGTTGGGCGAAGATGCGGAGATGACGGTCCCGATAAGAGAGAGGATGCTACCAATGAGGAGTCCATATTTTCGCGAAATCCGGTCGGAGATATGGCCGCTTGCTAAAGAGGATACTGAGGAGGAAAGGAGGATGCAGGAGACATAGATTCCTTGTTGCATGGAGGTTAAGTGACCGACAGACGTGGCGAATTGGTCCATTTGGGTGATGACACCGATCGAACCTGCTCATCTTATTCAATGGTTTTCGACGTCTTAGTGTTGGTCATGCTTCACTGACCTGTGTCTAGTCCGTATAGGAGCCCTGACAACGAGACATGGCTAGCGATGAGGAATATCTTCTTGGTTGGTGAAATCATCTGGAAAGTGCAGTTTAGGTAGATATGTATTGAGAGTAACTACATGTGAAGCAGAAGGGAAGTGACTGCTTAAGGAGAGGTTCAGCCCTAACATCTGACAATGGAGGAGAAAGCTGGGAGATACTACCTTAGCATAACTACAAAATGGCACGTTGGGAGAGGCCAATAAAACAGACGCATTCAGTAAAGTCAGAATAAACTGCTTAGCTTTTACCAAGCTCTTTGTCTTAGGGATATAATATCAACCATCTACCCCGCACTTGCGGTTGGCCCAGACATAGGTACCCTTTTCACGGTGACCGCTACAGGCGTCCAGTGGACTGGCAACCTGCAGCCTGTGACAACTCAAGAGAAAGCATGGTCGGAGTAGTGGCTCCCTCCCGAGTCTCGTCAGTGAAAGTGGCCCTCTGTGCTCTATGATAGAGTTTTATATCCGGTCAAGACTTTCGGCCCGAACCGACACCAATTCTAGGTTAGGTTGCCCATTTTCATAAAGGCCGCTCATCCTCATTAGTACTCATATTGTGAGTAAAGTGCGATCAAATATTGGAACTGACCATTCGACTCCGCTTGAATGCCTTAGGCAGGTAAATCAGTACTTTCTGAAGAACGCGTATGACGGGGTATTCATGGTGGACATCTAGACCAGGTCGCTGAGCCCTAAGATGTATTCTCGCTTAGGAGTAATGGTTGTCTAATATTTGATTGGCAAGCTCAATAGGGCTAGCTGAAATAGCCTCTTTTTCCTTGTCAATATTGCCTTGACAGACATGGGTTTGGCTTATTCTTCAGTGGAATGGTGCACACTCACTGCTACAGACGACAGTCCATTCATCGTCCACTGATCTGGGAGCTGCCAACTGTCCGGGACAGTGATATTACAGACTTCCTGGCCATTTGAAGTCGACCCACAAGCTAATTCCTGATCCCTGCTGATCTGTTATCCTTTTCTTTGATTACCCTTGGGGTGAAGTTACATCCCCCGGAGTCGCCGGTGTGTCTCTGAAACCACAGCGGGGCCATATATTATCGAGCATCGAGAGGCGATATCGGTCAGCTAATCAATATATAGAAGGAGAAGTGGAAGATTGGATGAAAGCAAGTCTATAGCAATCATTGGCACTGACAGGCACTTGAACCTAACTACAATGGTCAAAATTGTGCTGCACAGGCATTGCGGGAAATTACCAATTGCAACCCCAGTGTTGAATAATAGGACCAGGAGTATCACTTCCAACCGGAAAACTTCACAGCATATGAATTAAGATCATTGGTAGTCTTAATCCCTCTACTGTCTCTCGGAGTAGGTATCACTTTCCTCGGCACAAGATGGACAGCCGAGTCCCGACTAGTGCTTATATCAAACTGTAGCCTTGTAGGGATATGAGACGGTTTGATCGGCATCCTGGGTGTAGTTAGAGAGACATATTAAAATTTCAGCGCTTAGAACTCTTCCTAAAAGTTCAATTACTCAATGTGCATATGCATGTAAGATAACCCTAGACGAGAGCAGGGATCTCAGCTACCTAGTACTGTGGTTCACCGGTTGACAGCGGTAGTTCTGTTAGCCTAGTGGGACCTTGCAAGGTACGAGTCCATTCCATTCTGCTGCTATATAGGTTGGTTAGCTGATACTTTATATTACCTAAGGAAATACTCAGGACCGCATTCCAGACAGCTCAAAACCTCAAAGCACCTCTCATAGAGCATCGTAAGATGGTGATCATAGGACATTCCTCTTAGTCGAGTCTTCAATCCAATTCATACCACCTCAATTGAACTCAGATCAAATAATAGTAAGCTGGATAGATTCAGACTAGAGCACTATTTCTTACACTGTGCTCGAAGCTCATTAACAGTCTTTTACTTTACATCAAAATGACCAAATGCACCATCATGCTTCAACTAGAGCCAGACATCTTGCCACCTAACAAGGTGAAGATAAATTTTAATTATAGGAATCACTCTCCAAAATGCCAAGTCTGCACGAATCAAACCGCATTCTTCTCCCAATACAGAGTCGACAGACATAGCCCTTTAGAAGTCCGCCAAAATAAGCCCTAAACATCCATCCGCATCCTTAGGAGGACAGGTGTGAAGGCAAGTCTCATCTAGTCCGTATCAGCCTTCCCAGTAACAAAATTTACTTAGGGACTAATGGAAGGCCGATGTAACCTAGTCCCTTATACGTCAGACTAAAGGACCTGATTCCATTACTATATTATCCAATTCACATGCTCCAGGCCCAGACAAGGCATACCCACTTATGATCTGATAAAGGGGGCTTATACCCTCATTTCTATAATGCAGGAGTAAGAGCAGTTAGTCCTATAGGTATACCACGTTCTTGACAGGGTCGATGAAATCGTACGGCAGTTTTCCCTAGTGAAGAGATCAATACTATAGTATTACCAACATCATTTTTAGAGAGCTTTGGTGGCTGGCCAGGGGCCCAGGAGCCGCTCTGGGAGTCCTTTACTGGCTTTAGCAGATATACTGGACCTAGAAACGTCTGATTGAAGCTGATAGCAATCTGTCAATAGATAGAGCCGCATCTTAGACATTAGAACATGACGATCAAGGCGTAAAGAGTACCCTCTGCTTGGATATCTGCTGAAGGGGATGCTCGCTTCTGGGATATGCATTGTTAGGTAGTGATGGTGTTACTAGAGAATAGCCGCTGACTAGGCTCACCATGATGGGCGGTCTTGCAGCTCTATTCCATGATTGATTAGGAAGGCAGTGGCGATAGATTTCAGTACTTTGGTTCGCAACCTTGCAAGGTCCCACCATACTAACGAAACCACCAGGGTCAACCACAGTAGTCAGAAGGAGAAGGCGAATCAGGCCAGCAAGATGTGCTTCTTGTTGAATGGGAAGTTATAGTCCGAATGCAGGGATAATGTGATGGATGGGTCAATCAGCATGCGTGGTATGGTTAGAGAGAAATACTACTATTTCAGTCAGAGAAAATGTCCAATTCACGCACATGCAAGTAGATGAGGTGTAAGCCTCTGTCTCGAGTAAACTATATAAAGAGTCGAAATCGCCGTGTCGATTACTGATCTGTCAGGCTTTAGAACAAGCGTGAAGAGTAACCTAGTCATCTATATCCATCCCTCGAGTGATAGCACAGTATGGATGTCACACACTGCGGTTTGGGGCCACAAAGTATGTTCTGTGCGTCTTTTGATAATGCATTTCCACTGATGTATGCCAACTAGGCCCGGAGTTCCACTTGCCTTCTGACATCGATGGAATCCGTCAAGACCTCTTCACCAAAGGCATTGCTTTTGTCGAAGAGTGTGATGAAACCTCCCTTGTGCACCTGGGCAACCAACTTGGGGAGATAGTTCGACCCCGAAATGAGAAGACTCATGGAAGTGGCATAAGTCATATTCGATTTGCACCGAACTTGACAGGGAAAGGATACAGCTCTGAAGGTGGGTAATACACTTGCAGTCCGTTAGGATGACACATTCTTGCAGGGACCCCTTAAACTGACAGATACAAACCACCAGAGCTGTTCTTTCACACGGATCGCAGTGGATGGGATGAACCACCACAAATTCTGATGTCCACTCTTAAGAGTAGATCAGAAGCCGGTGGCGAGTCTCTGCTGGCTGATGGCTATCAGGTGCTTGAGGCTCTCAAACGAGAAGACGAGGAGCTGTACGAGTTGATCACAAACTCAAAGCACACCAGCTTCCGATCTGATGACGAAGTGTTCGTCCCAAGGGCCATCTTCGACAGAAAAAACGGTATTCTCCGCTTCAGGTTCGACGATAGCATCCAGCTGTCTGCGTCAATGGTATCTCGCTTTTCCAGATTGCAGGATATCATTTATGAGAATGCCTTTGTTGTCTCGCTACAACCCGGCCAGGGATATATCCTTGACAATCATCGGTATCTGCACGGTCGAGCCTCCTTCTCGGGTTCTCGAGAGTTGCTGCGAGTCCTTGTGAAGCCTTACGCTCCTCGACGGGAGATGGTGGTCTTGTTTGACATCGATGGGACCCTTTGCCGCTCAGAAGAGCTCAGCATTGACGCGTACTTTTCCTGTGTCAGTGCAGTGGTGGGTAAAACCATTACTCATGCCAATACACCAGTGAACCTCCACGGTCAAACTGACCTAAGCTTGCTCCATGCCATCCTCGGTTATCACGGTGTGGGTGATAAATCCCTGCTTACGGAGAAATTCTTTCAACTGCACCCACAGTATCTGGAAGACTCTAACGCAAGAGGCTTACCGGCAGTGCCCTGCCCGGGTGCAAAGGAAATGCTAAGATGGCTCACGGAGTACCGAAACAAGCATTGTTATCCGTCTATTCACATTGGCCTGCTAACGGGCAATTCGCGACCAAACGCTCTGCTCAAGCTACGTGCAGCAGGAATCGATACCAGCATATTCGATCTGGAGATCTCCTCTTTTGGAGATGTTCACCCTGATCGCCATACCTTGTTTCAAGACTCGTTCGCCAAGCTGCAAGCGTGCTATGGTCTTGGAATCAACGCACACGATATCATCATTGTGGGTGACACCCCTCTTGACGTTGAATGTGCCAAGCAGTCTTGTTGCTCAGTCATTGCCGTTGCTACTGGGAGCTACCAGGTAGATGACCTCGCCTTGCTCCAGCCTGACTTTTGCTGTAGCCAGTTGCCTGAGGCCAAGGATTTCTTGGCCCTGATGTTCACTCACTCCTCGCAGCGAGGTGGCGGCCGAGGTTGAGAGATTAGTGAAGTAGGGTAAAGCGACATAGGGTTTGATTGGAAAGTAACGCTTCTCGTAGTAAGAGTTGGTTGGAACCGAAGTTGAAGAATGGCCCCGCGAAGTCGTTATATTGCTCCTCCCGGTGAAACAGTTCTACTGTACATGTTTTTAGAGTTTCCAAGGACTATTCCCATGTCAGTCAAGACTTGCAGATCTGTTCAGGTGAAAAGTTGAATCTAGAATTGTTTGGGCATTAGGCCCCGCGCCCCCTTGGCAAGAAGCATATTCGCGACGGAGACACCGAGTAGTTCGGCCTCTTCGTCGCACCGGACGGTGGCCATGTCCTCAGCAACAATCTCCGACGTTCCTTCTATATGAAGAACCATGGCTCGCAAGCTAAGGTTGCCGCCGCTGCTACTATCACGGCCACGCTGTGAGTCGTCCTCTGTCGATCCGTTTTCTTCCTTTCCTAGGGGCTCCAGGGAAGACTGCACGCCGATTGGGGACGAGCATCCTCCCTGGAGGCTTCGAAGCATCGCTCTCTCTGCTATCCCGCGCCATCGCGACGGCTTATGGTCGACATGGCGGACCAGCTCGAGTATGTCTGGACGGTCCGTGCTGACCTCGAGCCCGAGGGCGCCCTGACCTACGGCATAAGGGAATATACTATCATCCAGTCGATGCGTAATCCGATGGCCGAGTCCCAGGCGTAACAGTCCTGCGGTCGCCAAGAGGATGCATGAGAACCGGGAAGAAGGTGCGTCCAGCTTAGCAAGACGGGTATCTCTAAATTATACAAGGGTCCTTCGTTAGAATCAAGAAACAAGCTTTTTGCGCTGGCAGAGATTGCATTGAGTAGCAGCACGAACCGATCCCTCAGGTAAAAAGGAGAAAAAACTCATCACTTACACATTGCCGCGACATTCTACAACCTCCAAATGAGGCCAATTCCGCCGAACCAGCGCTTTCCTCCGGGAAGAGCTCGTTCCCACTATGGAACCAGGAGGTAATTGATCGATGGATGTGAACTTCAGATCGGACCTCATACAAACAGCATCGGAACAGTCCTCACGTTCGGGGACCGCGCCCAGGAGACAATGCGGTGGTAGCGTGGTCGGCATGTCCTTCAAACTGTGCACCAAACAGTGAACCTTGCCGGCCACCAAGTCCAACTCCAGTTCATTGGTCCATAGGCTTTTACCAATATCGGAGCCACCGGTCAGCTTGGACAGCACCGCAAAGGGCGCCTGCTTATCGGCATCGCCAACGGCACTGCCGGTAGCAATCTGAAAGGTGGGAGAGGGATCAAGTGTTTGGCCCAACTTGGATGTGACCCAACGTGTTTGGACGAGGGCGAGTTCCGATTTCCGGCAGCCGAAAATCACAACCTCTTCTCCTGATGATGAATTGTGTTGCGGCTCAGAGTAGCCATTCCCCACGTCAAGACCCATGGTGGGCGAAAGAAATCTGGCGGAGGAGTTTGCTGCGTTCTGGCGATGTAGAAAAATGGCGAAATGAGCTTCAACTGAGGGGTTGTTCTGTGGCTGTAGACAAACTGTGTAAACAGTGGCGTGATTTGGCTATGCACCTATGTTGCCATCTCTAGTCTAACCCCTGGGGGGTGCAGGGGGGGAAAACTTCTATGTGCATGAAGAACGGTATCAGAGCTTGCTGTACGATTTTACTTTCGAATACCCCATTTCTGTAGGCATGATTCAATCATACGTGTGGTAATTGATTATGGATGCTCGGAGAGAAGCAACTGATGAGTTATTCTAGTATAGATTAGCTCAGCCTTATATGGCTCAGGATTGATATATGGGCGAGGCATCGTTGTATATGTCATATGATGGGCATTGATTGTGCTCATGATTGGGTATAGTCCTATTTCTTCCACTTTTGTTACGTCGGCCCGTCCCTCCCTTTGGCGAGAGCATTATGGATCATGTGATTTCGTACTTTCTTTGTCAGGGCTCGATTAGGGTCTAATTAGGGCTATGTTAGGGCTCGGTTACAGCCCATGAAAAATTTTCTCCACAACACTTAGTTCTCTTATTATTGGACTGCACCTCCCTTTTTATCCTCTTTTAGAGAGGTGGAGCTCACGGAAGAATTTACCCACCACTCCCATCTTCTAATCGTGGTTCTCCTATTATTGGACAACATCCCCTCTTACCCACTTTTGAGTCTATTTACCAGCCCGCCAATTACAGAATGGCGTCTGAGATGATGCAGATCATTTCGGGCGGTCTATCAGCGGAGCTGCACGACCCGCGCTGATGCATCGGTTGAACCTTGCTCTAGGTGGAGCCGCAGAGTATGCCCAAGGGGTCTGGGCCGCTCTGTGGCTCTGTTCCATAGAGAAGCTGGAAAAGTATGTTGTGGCCATAGAACACGGACCGGACACCTTTGTTGTCACCTCGCTTTACACGACGGTTGTGGTGACAGATATTATCAAGCCCTGTATGTTTTCACTGTTTCTACGCAACTAAGTATTCTCACAGTTACTCAACTCTCTTTAGGGATGACAGGCCGTGCTAGAAGAGATGTTGAATCATCTGTTCCTGGAACTCCTGTTAGCGGTGCTGCGTCCCCTGCGAGCCCATCAACACAGTGTTTTGAAAGGGACGGCGAGCGTTGCATCATAACGAAGGTTGGCGGTTGCTCAGAAAGCGCCCATATTTACCCTTACTCTCTCCATGAAGGCTTTGGTCCTAAGTGTGCTAGATTTTGGGACACGCTCTCCATGTTGTGGCCACCCAGTACAATTGAGGAATGGAAAGCCGATGTTTTCGGGGGCTCAAACACTGAACTCTGCTCCAATAGGATCACTCTCTCCGCAAACGCGCATGTATACTGGGGAAAAGGCCTCTTCGCCTTGAAACCTGTTTCTATGAGCGAAGATAAGAAGACTCTCCAGCTTGAATTCCACTGGCTGCGTCAAGTGCCGCAATCTTCTTCAACTGTACTCCTAAGCGATAAACCATCTTTCGAAGAGTCTCTGGATGGCAGCGGTAAGAATGCTCGTCTCCAGGATTTTGAAAAGGGCGAGTTGATTTCGTCTGGCCACAAGATTTGGATGAAGACAGACGACCCAATTAATCGTCCACTCCCAAGTGTGAAGTTACTGGGGCTGCAATGGGCGCTTCAGAGGCTGGCATCGCTTAGCGGTGCAGCAGCAGCCTTTGATGTGTTATTGGACAGTGATGATGAAGAAAACGATGGCATGGTCAGACTGTATGATTCTGAAGAAGATTTCTGCTAGGACGATGACTTGTTTGATGACAGTGTATATGTATTTATGAGCCACCCCTCTCTTGTTCGAGGCTAATGCGGATAAAAAGGCTGCCACAAAGACAACCAACCGAGTCGGAAGTTGTGATACAGACATCACCATGGCCGTTCAGGGCGTTTGAGGAGGGTGGGATAGTCCCATTCTTCGTTGAGTGGGACACGTATTACGATCTAGAATGCTGCTGATTATTCTCTATGTAACACTATGGCTGACTGTTAACAAAGGTAGGGTCTCGTGTCATTTCCAGAGCAAAAGGAGCATTTGAGTATCTCAAGAATTACTAAACCAGATCATGGAATCCTGGCAAGTCTATAGAAGTCATCGTAGGATATTTTGCCTAAAAGAAAATGCCGGCTGATATGATATACGCCCAGGCTTGGACCCTCCAGACACGCGGCCATGTTCTTTCTGGTACGGCATCTACAATTCCCGTCGGAGGGTTCTGTTGCCGGCGAAAACGCATCGTGGAGACTTGAACGGGTGCAGATCTGCTGATTTCGGCGCTGGCCAGGATGCCTCGGGCATAAACATGGGACCATATACCTCTCCAAGCGGTTCAATATCTCGTCCAAGGGTTGTTCTCATCCTCAGTTTTCGGGTCGCCATGAGAAGCATTCTCTTTTTGTAACGAGGAACCAATGATTTCTCCGATCTCTCCTGAGGCTGTTCCTGCTAGAACCCCGATTCCAATTATTCCGCCGTCGCTGACCTCGCGAAGGAAAACGCTTTTACCTCCTTCCTGCGGTCCAGCACATAAGATGAGCCGATCGATATATCTCTGAACAGTCTCCTTATAATGAGGATAGTGTTGGATGACGCCCCCTGAGACAGCTACAGCCAGTTCTTCTGGTCCGTTTTTCCAGCCTGATTTGGACGAAAACCTACTGTGTAATTCATATTGTTCAGTAACCTTCAGTGCAACATGCGAATTCTGATCGATCTTGGCGCTTAGAGAGTCCGGACTCCGCAGCTGTATCTCCCGAGTGCAGGCGAGAAGGCCAACAACTGCAGAAGCCACCAAAGAAGCAGCTCGGTCCTGCACTGCCGATGCAATGGCACGAACATCACCTGCTAATTCAGGCGTCCAACTCCAACTGCTCGTTGGGGGAGGTGGTAAATGCTTTGATAGATCGCTTGCTAGGCGTTCATTGGAGTAATTGGACGCCACAAAGAGAGAGAGAAAATCTGTTGTGAGAGAATATTCCTTGACTAGTTTCAGGGGCAGCGCAGACCGCGCGATTCCTAGGGACCGATCGAACCAGTCGTAACAGATGATTCGGACCAATTCACCGATATATCGCCCACCGACCATATACTCGAATGGTTGAAACCCTGGTCGCTGGGAATGCATATCCAGCTCAGTATCCCACGAAGTTGTGATGCCAAGCTCATGCAACGGAGCAGTCGCACTAGAAAGTGTCCATTCAGTAGAAACTAGCGTTTCTATCGCATCAGGCTCCCTAGCACGTATATGACGAGTCTTTAACTCATGCAGATCAGTAATTCTAAAAGGAACAGTAGCATTACAACCGGCGCCTACGATCAGCCCCATGACCACGCGCGTGTTGGGCAAAGAAGGCATAAAGTATGCCAGAGAGGCGAGAGTCGCCACGGTGTCGTTGGTCATGACTGCGATTTTTAATGAAGGCAGACAGTACAGCTTCCGTTTCTTAGCTGGCATTGGTCCATTGTCCTCATCAAGGCGACGGGTGTGACGTTCATATCCACTTAGCAACGCCTGGCGAAGGTTCAGGTCTGAATTCAAGGCAAACCCTTTTCCTGTCGGCATTAAGATGGCTTCATCTAGAGATTTTTGCCTGTTATCTAATTAGATATATGGTACATTGGAACAGACGGAGGGGTTATCATATACTTAACAGGAAAACAGAGAGAAATGCCTGTAGTCAATTCGCTAGGCATCTTCTCTCTTGGATTGGCGAGACTATCCGCCACTACTTCAGCGATACAGTCACCAATCCAAGTGAACAGGTCCAGGGCGTGATCTCGTCGCAAGTGCTCTTCAATAGGCCATGCCTTCTCCAATGTTCGCCTTACGCGTGAGTGGCCCTCAACCTGTTGATCTCCCAACAGGTCGATAAAGGCGATTCTTAGATACGATAGACCAACATAGACCGCTAGATAGCGGCCCGTTTCGTGCCCTGTGGGAAGACATGTGATTGCCGTGGGGAAAAACTCGTCTAATGAGGTTGAAGCTAACTTCTGATATGACAAAGAGAGGCGACAAGATAGCTTATATAGCGTATCGACTTCTGTATAAAGTGGCCGAAGGAATTCCTTGAGATCCGAACATGCTCTTGGGTTTGCTGGGATACTAGGGTATGGCCTTGGCATGGTGTTTGGTACGATTATAAGTCTGCAAGTCTCAATTAAACAATCATATGACTGCTGTCTCCAGTAGATAGCGTGATGGAAACTAGGACGTGGAGGCGTCAAGAGATGCCTCCAAGTCCCGCACGCCTGGTCTAGCGCCTGGTCAAGGGATGGTATGATACGCCAGATCATTATTACTAATCAATGGTATAAAAATACTACCTTATATGGAGTACGTAGTATCGACTCTATTGATCAGCCGAGGAATAATAATCTCCTTTTAAGGCTTTAACTCATAACTTAGCAGCAGACACGTGAGTCTATATCATATTACCAGCACGTCGTCCGTTCAATATTCCCACACCATTAACCAGTTCAAGCGTGATGAAGCCACTTAGCGCCAAGGGCATCAGATACGAAAAAGAGCAGTGCAATAATGCCATTCATGTTGAAAAGGTGCCTAAGCACATCTGTGAAGGCTGATAAACAAAGGCTATGTCTCATCCAAAGGATTTAATCGAGACCAGATCAAGGTCACTGAGGCTGTGGTCAAGCCGCAGCAGGGAATAGGGAAGATGGGGAGGAAGTGATGGAACTGCTCCTGGACCAGCGAGGATATCAGATCGAGATCACTGAAGACGTGGTCAAAGCCGCAGCAGGAAATGGAAGGAAAGGGAAGGAAGTGATGGCGCTACTCTTGGGGCACTTGGGGCGCCAGATTTAAATCGAGCATCATGAGTTACGACTTACAAACAGCCTCATGGAAGGGCAATATAGAGGATGTGGAGCATCTTCTTGCAGATGGAGCCAATGCTGCTTCTGCAAATCGCTGCGGTTGGATACCACTACATGCAGCATCTTGGAACGGTGATATCCAGGTTGTCAGACTGCTTCTCGCTAAAGGCGCCCATCCGACTGGCAAAAGTAATATTGGCTGGACGCCCTTGGATGCGGCATTTGCCATTGGTCGCGTTGATACCGTTCGACTTCTTTTTCCACATGACCCTGACGCTGCCGCGGACTTCACTCCGACATCTTTTAGTGACATTCGAAAGTCAGGCGTCCTGGAGCTGGACAGTGAGAAATTGGAGGTGAGGTATGTTAGACCACTAAATAAAGGTAAGTGAGGACTATGATCTGAGCCCTTTGCTGTGGTGACCATAGAATGTGCAATTGACACTTCCTTTCTGTCTAGGGATGGCAGCTCCAGTTGTGTTTGGCTCAGTGAATGCAAACAAACCCATTTCTCCTTTGGAAAATGTCTTTTACTTTGAGATCGAGGTAATCAGTTCAGGTCACAATGGGTTGGTTGGTCCATTACCCCTAAGAAATTCTTGAACGGATGTGCTAAATTTCCGTATAGTTCAACAGCGCGATAGCATTAGGTGTCTGTAGAGAGAACTCTGCACTAGAGCGAATGCCCGGATGGGAAGGCACGTCATGGGGATATCATGGAGACGATGGAAAGAAATTTCATTCTGCTTCACAAGGCCAGCCCTACGCAGAGAAATTCGGAGATGGGGACAGAATAGGCTGCCGCCTCGAGATGTCCAGTGGAAATCTAGAGTTCCTTAAGAATGGCCGATCGCTTGGTGCGTCACTCCGAGATTCGTGTTCAGCGTTTGCATGGTGGCTGATGATCGTCCAGGAGTTGCATTTACGAGTGTCCATGGCTTTGTATTCCCGGTGGTAGGCATTGGCTCATATGGTGCCCATATTCGGGTTGATTTCAGGCCGCATACAGAGAGTTGGAGTGGTCAGTCCGAGGTATAGCGAAGACAGTTGCCTGCGCGTGTTGTTGGGAGTTACGAGGATGTTTACTGGGACTTGCCGCATTTCGAGCCTCACGAGGCACTTATGGAACTGCCAGCCGTTGACGGAACCATTGTGCATATACACTGGTGTGACTCTATCAATCTGACTCAGAAATACACGAAGAGCGTGCGGCAAGCATTTTCACAATAATAGTCCTCTACTTCGTAGACACATATATCATTCACGACAGACCATCAGACATAATCACCATGAAACATCAAGATTAGACCGAACCATCTCTTCCAGCTACAGCCACCTCAATTCGCTGAGAGCTGGGCTTGACCTTCTTCACATCCTCATCCTCATCCTCGTCATCCTCGCCTTGCTCATCACCCTGATCCTCAGGTAGAATCACCTTATCACCAAAAGACGCGGCAATCTCCTCGAGAGTCTTCTGCTTCGTCTCACTAGCAGTATATCAGTACATCTCCACGAGGTAGCAACCGCCAGTAACAAATGCATAACTCACGGGAAATAGAAATAGGCCACCACGAAAAAGAACGCCGTACACGCCACGAAGACATAGTAGTAGTTCTCGTGGATGTTCGCAAATGCACTGGGCCCTGCTTCGGTGACTGCACATTCGGATAATCTTAGCTTCATTGCCTTTTACCCAGCGGGGAGAGTCGAGGGAACAGACCAGCTACATTGACAATGAAATGCGACGCAGCCGCTAGACCCATTACTTTACTTCGCAGCGCGATGGGGAGGACCTCGGCGCCGTAGAGCCAGGTTGTGCTGTTTAGCATGCCGTCTGGGAGTCGTTAGTACGGTTCTTCCTTTCTTTCGTTCTGGTATGATAATTGGGGGCTTAGGAAGGGGAGAGAAAGGACGTACAATATATCACGACAAACAGGTAGATACCCAGTATGGCGAAGCCCTTTCCGACGCGGTTATTTGTGTTCTGGAATTCGCGCTGCATGACTGCGGCGTAGATTTCGATGAGGATTATGCCGCCTAGGCCGGTGAGGATCATTCTGTGACGCAGATGTGGATTAGCTTGGATTATGAGGAGACTTGGATAGCAGAGGTGGTTACTTTCGGCGTCCCCATTGGTCAGTGAGGTATTTGGTTGTGAGGCAGTTTGTGAGGAAGGCGATTGTGCCGTAGACGGCGGCTAGGGCCAGGATGGTGTGCGAGTCGATGCCGAGGGATTTGTAGAGGATTGCTTTGATGTGGTTAGTTCCGGCTTAGGAAGTCAGGTTAGGCAGGGAGTCTCACTTTGGTAGTACTAGTTGTATGCCAATGTTAGTCGAGTCTCCGATGGTTTGGGGCAAATGACATGACAGACGTACCTGGATGACATTCACGCCAGTCAGACTAGTCATCGTCTGCACGGCAATCGAGCTACATCCATCAGCTGGAGCTCCTTCATTCGACCAGTATCACTTACACCAACACACGGTGCCGGAACAGCCGAAAGATCTCCCGGTAGGAAGTGATCTCCCGCTCCTTCTCGTAGTTGATCTGCGCAAGCATAAGCTCAAACTCCCGATGCACATCATCCGAGTGGAGATCCCTCCGGATCCGCACGAACTCGCTGCGCGCCTGCTCGATCTTGCCTTTGCGGATTAGATGCCGCGGCGAGTTGGGCATGAATGTGACCAGTCCAACGAACATGATCACGCCCCAGGGGATCTGGATGCCCAGCGGCAGTCGCCATTGCACGGGCCCATAGGGCGCAAAGCTACAGGCGAAGCCCACCCAGTTCGATGCCATGGTTCCGAAGGAGATTCCGCAACCTGAGATACCTCCTATGAGGCCTCGATGGCGCGGGTCCGAGATTTCGCTGAGGTAGATGGGTACAGTGGCTACCATTCCTCTGCAACCTGAGTGAGTCGAGAAAAATCTACGCAGAGTCATGGAAGGTCTTCTTACCCAACAGCATATCCAGCAAGGGCACGACCGGCCAGGAACATCCCCATGTTGATTGATGCTGTTTGGATAGTGGTTCCGATCGTCACGACCACACACATCAGGGCCATGAACCGAAGTCGACCCAGTCTATCGCCGATTGCGGTCTGTGTGAGGGCGCCGACTGCCTCGCCGGCGATGTAAACAGCGACGACCTGGCAGTGTCAGATTGCATTCTGAATATTCCGACGAATCTAAGCATACCGCTCCGGTGAGGCCAGCCGACGGGTGGCCCATATAGTTGATCCAGCTTCCATGGGCAATAGCTGACAGAATACAGGGTTAGCCCCTTGCAAGATATCCAGTCGAGTAGCGCAACCCCTGCTTACTTGTTGTGGCGATTCCCGTATCAAAGCCCTGATCTGCGATTAGCACAGCTAAGATGCCCATATTCATCAGACACATACAAAAAGAAATGTCCCGATGGCCGCAAAAAGGGCGATACTCAAAGTATACCACTCCGTCATCTTGCACAATCCAAGTCTATAAAGTCCGCAAGAATGTTCGGAGGTGCAAGATGCAGGATGACAGTCTGTCGTACAGGTGCAGATCCCCAGCATCCACCGCCATTTATACATCAACCTCCATTGATATCAAAATAGGCAATAGATTGGCGGGTGTATGCTGTCCGGCAGCAAGCCGAGGGTGTGTAACTGTTAGTCCCACTCGGAGGATGGCCGAGGAGAAGGCCCCCATGGGGTCGCTCAATCTGGGGTAGATAGTACCGAGCTTCATGCGTCTAACTTCAGATTCTTTTTGTTCAGCAAAGTTTAGCCAGAATGGACGACGTGGGGATATCCGAGTCATTCGTGGGGGTTCCTTTGGTCGCGGTAACTCCGCATCATGTAGACCAATGGACGTAGTGCAACGGCTGGGCTAGCGATGAAAGACGTCACTCGCAAAGTAAACGAATCATGCTTTTTGAAGTTTAGCTAGAGCTATTACCCCTAATATCCGTCAAATATAATGATCAGCAAAGATCACAGCGCAAGGGAGCAGCAGAGCTGTGATGAAGGTGGGGTGGGGATAATGGCAGGTCCTACTTGATAGCAGAGAAGATGGACTTCTTGTCTTCTTTTGGATAACTTCACGATACCAATGTCCGAACTTGAATGCGCATATCGAGTCGGACAAAGTCCGTCGGTGATTTGGGTGCGTTTGTAGTTCAGGTGATTGATAACTCCTCATTCATTTTCTTAGTTGTACTTCCGTCCTACCCTCTGGCAAATGGACGCTTCATTATGGATGATAACGAGAAGATGCATAGAATGAAGATAAATACTCAAGGACGCAAGTACCGTTCGGGTTGCGTAGCCGCGCTCACTGAAGCCAACAAGCTAGACCCGATGGAAGCGGTCACGATTTCTTCCTCCAATTCTGTGGTCCAGACACGACTATTCAGGTACGACTCGCATGAGAGGCTGTATGCTCGTTCTGCCTGATAGTATGATCTTGTCAGAGGTTCTAAGAGGTAGTTGCTTCGGGATTTGACAAAGACCAGACTGTCATTGGCAAGGCGCATTGCCAAAAACAATGCAAAAGTGGAGAGGCTAACACGATGGTCTACATGGAACACAAGAGAATTTCGTGAAGAGACTCATAATCTAGGAGTCATATTGTCATTTTGTGAATATGAATTCCTATTTCATTTTTTCCATTGCCAATGTCATATGCCCTCCGCCGGAGTAGTAGACCGGTCTGCAATGCACGAAACCCAGAGCCCGAACAAGGAAATCGCAAATTTAGAAAACAAGAGCAGCACCCTTGGTCTTCTTGTCACCACTAAACAGCAAAAAGCGTACGTTAGTATGCATGGACCAGGTATCGCCACATTCGCGGACTCAACGTACCCCAACTCGAAGTGCTTGCAACGCTTCAGAGCGAGCTGCTTCTTGGTCTTGCAGGCAGTGCACTCAAGACGCAGGACGATCTTCTTGGTAGTCTTGGCCTTCTTGTGGAAGACAGGCTTGGTCTGACCACCGTAACCGCTCTGCTTGCGGTCGTAACGACGCTTACCCTGGGCGAACAAGGAGGCCTAATAGATCCATCATCAGTGCCTGTGCCAACTCATCTACCGTGGCGTTTGGGTTATATTCACCTTGCCAGCCTTGTACTGGGTGACCTTGTGTTGGGTGTGCTTGTGGCACTCCTTGGACTTGCAGTACGTCCGGCGGGTTTTTGGAACGTTGACCTAGAGCGCAAGAGCTATCAGCAACTGTCCACTACAATCCAACAACTTCTTGTGCTGCCTGTTTCCATGTCCCGGTTCATCGGAGAATCCAGTCCAACTCGGTAGAGGTTATCGTGGGAAGAGATTCAGATCACTGGCAGAGACTATGTCACAGGTTCTTCTGGCGAGCGAATATTCGTGGTTATTTTCCGTGTTTGATGCGCTGAGTCTTTCGTTGCCAGTGCGTCCGTTGCGTCCTCATCGCGTCGAGGAATATCCCATATTTCTCCTCTAAACTCTGACGCATGAAAATAGTTCAATTTCTGATATCCGAGCGAGACGTATCATAGTTGCGATCGATAGCATTTTCGTCCGTTTTTCCATTGTCCGCAACTTCATCGTCCTCGAACCCGAACAAACATCTCCTTTCATCGCCAACCGAGTTTTCGACAGAACTTCTCCGAATCTCCAGGATGGAAACAGCATGCGAGTAAGAAAAATGCAAATGAGTCCTTACCATGTTGACAGAGTTTGCCGGATCGTGAGAATTGTTGGTCGTTGGTAGTCTCTTGTCGGAGAGGAGCAAGTCAGACTGTACGTGGGTTGTGGGATTTCGTTCGCTTAGGGCCCTATTTCGGGCGGGCACTAACCGCTTCGGGTGTGCGCGCCAAGACCGCTTGCTGCCCCAGGCATCATATCCGTCATTACCATCATTATTCTCGGATCGACCTCAACTGTGGATTCTTTGTGATTAAATTGAGCAGCTCTCTTGTCTACTAATTCCGAACTCCAATCTCATGCGTGTATCCTTTCCCGACAAGAACTTTCTCTCCTTCTCCATACCAACTTGGACCCTTGCAGAGTTCTAACCCAGTCTCTTCTCCCACGATCCACTCTGCTCCTGCAGATACGGTCCGATTCTCTCCAGGCCAGTGCTTTGCTTGAATTTCCTGGTTGATTTGTTCGATCTTGTCTACCAAGACCGCAACGCGCTCACGATCGTACACCGGTTCTCCACCCGAGCCAAACTTCTCAAGCAAAAATCCATCATGTGTGATGAACCTCGCAATCGTGATATGCGCCGAGGGTACTAGGTACCTAGGTTTGAGTTGTAATCCCGTAGCTGCCACCCCAGCATACAGATCTCGTCGCAGGTGATGATACGTATATTTGTCATCGTCCGCGGAGCGACTCCATCGTGATGGCTCTCCAGCTGCAGGGACGAAGCTAAGGGCCATGGCTGCGGCGTCAAAGCTGACAACAGGTTTGACCAGCCGTGCCCGGTGGTTGAAGGTATAATTGACCAAACCCGGAATCACACCACTCTGCTGTAGATGAGACACAAAAGAGTCGACCTCCAAAGAAGTCCGGGAACTGGCTATCTCAAGGACTGTCGTATGTAGGAAGTCTGGTGGTGTAAGCCAAATGTCTATCAACGGTCAGTCATAGCTTAGAGGGCAGAAGCTGTTGATAGCTCACTTGGCACAACACTCTGGACTTCGTTCTGAATCTCAGCAATCAAGTCCTTTATATGCTGTGGCGGTCGTGCGTAAAAGTTGAGGTTGTTCCTATGATCAATGAAAGGTGTCTGGCCCTCATGGCTGGGTATAGTCGTTTGTACATGTAGCTTCTTCAGGATTTCGTCAACCTGCCATCCTGTAAAGTCCGGGCTGAGCAGGTGGACCTTGGACTTTGCGTTCCTTGTAGACCGGTGCGCTTCATATTGAGCTTGAATCTTGGCCTATTCAGGTCAACAGCTGTCTATAATTCCAGATGAGGCTATGGACAATTACCGGGTCGCCTTGACACTTGAAGATCAATTCGTCAAAGGGGTTTTGGCTTGAGTCTTTTGCCATCTTGCAGAAAATGTCTTTTTAATGTTGTTTTCGATGGCTGAAATTCAAGTAGATCTCGGTATTGGTATCTGTGCCAAAAATAGCAAATATATACCTGCTAGTTGCATGCACAGCATCAATTCACAATCGGCTACTTCTGCATGTATACAGAGTAGAGGCCAGACATATCAACTCTGCCTGTGTAGCTTACACAATAATACATTAAGGACACCATACACTAACATAAACCCCATGCCAAAAAAGCTGTTCTTGAAACAGACTATCCAGCTACTAAGAGACGTCCTGTTAGGCTACCTCCAACACCAAAATCCCCTTCATTTACTGCCCCACCGATAACCCCGCTACGGCGAAGCCTTCCGTCACCATCATTTCCGATCAACCACCGTCATCTCACTACTCTTGCTCGTCTCAATACAATTATCTTCGTTTTAGCGCGTTAGCAGCTACTTCTTGCTTTTATCTTCAAGTCCTTTAGCTGCATCTCACCGACAAAACCTCAAAATGTTGATCAAGTGAGTGATCACTGCAAGCGACTGGCTGATCAATCGTGTCCTGGCACTCGAGACCTAGCCTATGCTAACCGATGATTTACTTTAGAGTCCGTACCCTTACCGGCAAGGAAATCGAACTGGACATCGAGCCTGATTACAAGGTACATACTTAGTTGTTGCATATTCCGCTTCCCTTTGCTGTGGTCCCTGCCACCGTGTGACTCCGCGTTATCCAACAGCATCGTCTGCGCCGTGGACGGAACAGAAGAAGACCTGCAGACAGCATACGGAAGGATCTTGCGAAAGCATATACTGAGACTTGTACCAGGTGTCCCGGATAAAGGAGCGCGTCGAAGAGAAGGAGGGTATCCCCCCCGTTCAACAACGACTAATTTTCGGCGGAAAGCAAATGTATGTCGTGTTACTATGAAATGTGGTGGTGCAATAAGGCTGACGATGTTCGCATCGAAGGGCTGACGACAAGACCGCTGCGGAATATAACCTAGAAGGTGGCGCGACGCTGCATCTTGTCCTTGCTCTGCGCGGTGGCTGCGATGCTTAATGGATTCCTTCAATACGGTTGACGTCATGAAGATTTACGCGAATAGATTATGAGCTGGAGCTGTGGCACACGTGGATCATGAAGCGAGGAGGGCTCCAGGACGACATATGAAGTTTCGCTCTTACTATACCCGAGTTGTGTTGAGCAGGAGGAAGCGACTGAGAATTTGCTGTGACGAAGTGGAAGAGCATTTAATCCTCGACGTCGCGCACAGTTCCTGCACACCAGGTGCTGCATGATGTCTTCGTTTTAAGCCTAGACGTCTTTCTACTGACCATGTGAACGCATTTAATGACAACATCATTGAAGAATGTTCACATCAAGGAAAGGGTGGCAATCCTTTGTTCACTCGCTCTGAAAGATGGATTAATTCTAAGCTTTAACTAGATCGTGTCATGCATCATCATGCTGTAGAGAGAACTGTCCACGCTGTACCATATTTGCACCAATCCCATCCAACACCATACAGATATAATGGCTAAATCCGCGATGACCAAAACTGATTCCGTGATGAAAAATAAAAGAGTCGACCAATATTGCCAACGAATAGAAATTATAAGCCTTGTTGAATGTCAAAATGTCAAATGAAGGTATCCAGACATCCGAAGCCATGTATCGCCCATAAAAAAGTCATCTTTGAATCGAACAATTTGCACATCGTCAATTGACCTTTTTCTTCTTTGGCTGGATGAACAGACTCGGTGCTGGTCTCTTCCGCATGACTGCGCGCGGCGGTTGAGCGGGAGGGGCCCCTGAGTTGTCGGGGTCGGGAATCGCCTCCAGCAGAGATGATTTGGCGCTCTCAGCAGTGGCCGTCTCATTCGTACCCTGTAACCGGCCCGCCGGGGGAGAATCAGACGATCCTTGAGTCGAGGATGAGGAGAAAGGATCCTGCAAGCTTTTGCTTGCGGTCATTGCTGATGACCGGTACGGCACGGGAGCCGGAGCCGGAGCCAGCGAGTTTCCAGAAGACTTCGGGGTCGACGAGCCCGACTGCTTCCCCGAAGTCAACGCTCGGAGCCTCGCTTCTCTTTCGCGCAATGACGGGCTGACAACAAAATGGCCAGGCCCTTCAGAGGGCCGAGTGCTCTGCAGCCTCGATCGCCCGGGTGCTACTAAAGTTGGAGGGCCGTTGCGCCGAGGAACAACAGGCTCGGGCGGTCGTCGGTGCTCCTCAATCAGAGAAAGAGGAGCCTGTTTAACCCGACTGGCTCTGTTGTTTAGTTGCTTGGTTGGTACGGCCAGGACAGGGTTTCTCTTCGTCAGGTTGAAGATGTTGCTCTTCTTCTTCTCCGGCCGAGGAAGCTGTGGTCGCTCATACGACCAGACAGGTGCGCCCAGCGGATCAGACGAACCCATCCCGCCCCTTGGAGAAGCAAATCTTGGCGTAAGACCTCCCATCTTCCTGTCAAACGAAGCATACCGTTGCTTCGTGGTTGGCCGTTCTCGAGGCAGCGGAATAATCCGCCGGTCAGTGACGAACTTAGCGCTATGTTTGGCACGCTCGGAGTTGATGCCATCGAGAGCCATCTTGAGTTTCTCTGCATCCTCCTCAACTGCTTTTTGGACACGTTGCTGGAGATCGCAGTATACATCGTACCAGCAATCGGGCTGTTCAGGCAGATCGTATTCGTCCCATCTTGGTATATCCCTTTTAATGAAATCAAGCCAGAGTTCGGCATCCTCTTCCATGATATGCGGCGAAAGCAATTCTAGAGATCTCTACCATAGCGCAAGCAGTCGAGCGTCAGCAGATCGATCCAACAATATGTAAACAGGAGCTACCACTCACGAGTTTCTCGGGGCTCTCGATTTTGAGAAGGAACGGACGAGCAAGCGAATAGGGAACATTGCCAATGTCGTTCAAATCTAGAAATACTGTTAGACAGTGTTCAATATGGGTATATCGCACTTAAAAACTGACATTTAACGTTCCTAATGGCAGTCGAGGTGCAAAGCTGTAAAAGCGATGGCGGCGGCATTATCCTGGATGTGATGGAAGGCTAGATAAGAACAAAGACGATTGCATGAAGAAGGTAGAGAAAATGAAAGATCCGGAAGTATTGGACGAGATAAAGATAAAAGGACGCCAAAGCATATATACCAACCGCCAACAGTCAATCATCCCCATAGTATTTATGTACTCGGACTGAATAAGAGATGAGAATGTGCAACTGGCGATGACAATGGCCGAAGACGGATGATGTGTGTCACATGATCCTATTGATCAGATATTGATTTACCAAGCACAATGAAGATATCTACCAGAGGTAACCATCTGGTAAATATAATCAATCGGTCATTATTGATTGAGAGCTAGTCTGTCTACTATAACAGGTTGATGAACATTGAGCGATGGTCCTTGCTTAATTCATGACGGAGCTGTGAATATATTTGTGGAACTGCCGCATGGCTGGCTAATACCCGTTTATGTCACAAGGTATTTCGAAGCAGGGAGAACAAGAACTGCCTTCTGAAAATGAATCCATATCTATTTAAAGTGCGAATTATGACGCTATAAGAAAGGACAAGAATGTTGAGAACAAAGGAACAGCAGCGACATGTGACGTTCTATAAAGCAACTCCCAAACAGCCCCCAGTTCATCAAGTTTCTAGTCTGAGCGTCACTGACTTTGCTGACCAGAAGGCATCTGAGCCAACCAAGTCGGCGGTGAAATGCCAGTCTGTTCATGGATTGTGCTGAAAAGAGGCGGAAGGCTCTGCATGATGTCCCTGATTGGACCCATCGTGTCATTGGAGCTGGACCCATTCCCTGGAGGGATGTTACAATGCCATCCTCGCGAAGGACGTAGCGTTATCACTCACCAGTGTTCCATGTAGTGATCCTGGGATTAAGACCTTGTATAGCGAGACCGTTTGCCTGAGCCAACTTCTCGTAAGTGCCGGTCTCCAGCATCCTATACTGCAGGAAAGCCTGAGGGCCACCGAGAACATCGACGAGCGCGCCATATGCTTTGGCCATCTCTAGAATTCCTTCAGCTTCGCGCTTCTGCTGGTAAAAAGCGGCGTCTGCCTCTTTGCTCTGGCGATAATCTGACCTCATCAGTGCAAATGAAAGAGGAAAGGAAACATAGGTTCAAAAACGTACAGGCCGCGTCAGCTTCCATCTTTCGTTTGTATAGCTGTGCATCTGCAGCTTTCTGTTCCGTATAGAAGGAAGCATCTGCATTTTCTTGAGCAGACTCGCGTGTGACCTTGCTTTTCGTGACCTCCACGGCTCGTAGGCGTTCGAGCTCTGTTTCTGCACGCTTAGACTCAACCTGCTTTTGCAGCTCTGCGTCCCTCATTTCTGCTTGACGTTGGGCTGCAATTTTGGCAAGCCGAACGCTATTATCTAGCTCAGTCTGACGGTTCATGAGCTCGGAGTCAGCCTTGGCCTTTTCGGCCTTCCGCTTTGTCTCCAAAACTGCAGTGTCGGCATCGATCTTCGAGATCTCCTGTTTTGCTCGTCCTTTCTTTTCGGCCTCACCGATTTCTCCCCTCATTCGCGCCTCAGCCACATCGATCTTGGCCTGATTGAGGGCTCCTTCATGAGCTTTACGGCTAAGGAAGGCGAAGTACTCGCTGCCCGGCGTATCCTGAAGCTCCTTCACGTTGGCGTTATAACTATGAAATGCATAAGCCACCGTGCTAACAAAAACGCAATGTGCCAAACGTACATTTTCAGTCCAAATTGTTGAAGCTCGCTCTGAACGTTTCGAATGACTATTCGGTATCACGTTAGTAAGTTCAAGATTCGAACTCAGTAACAACCACGGACCCTTTGTCTTGAAAACTTGTCTCTCCTTGAATATCTCTTCCATGGTCATGCTGGAGACGATGACACGGGTCTCGCCTTCAATGATACCCTTGACAATGTCTTGGACATGATCACGTCTTGTTGGGTCCGTCAGATCTTTGGCCTTAGCAAAATCAGCCTCGGAGGTGCTGCCGGACAGAAGCAACGCATATTTTTTCAGGGCGTCGGCTTCATTATCTGGGCCGATTGTAAAGACCGCTGGCAGCGAGAACTGCAGCTTTTCAGTAGTCATGGCTTGGAGGTTAAGAGAGAAGTCGAAAGGCGCGACAGAGATTCTTGCGCACTTGATTGTACAACGAGAATTTAGCTACCTCAAGACCTTAACCGATGCCTAAGGAATACATACTCGCTGCCATGGCATGACAATGGCTTTCTTGCATATCCGTATATCATCAATCCCAGCACCCGTAAGCACGAGATACTCGCTTGGTCGAGAGATCGCGTATCTGGAGAAGACGATGAGCATTTCTGCTACGGGTGGGAACTGTCATCACAACATACCGCATCTTGGGACTGTCTAGAGAGGATATCAGGAAGGTATAGATGTTAGGAGATACGGGCGACAAGCAGAGTTTAAACCGTGAACAATACTAATATGATCAAATATTCCTGTATATGGAGAAAGCATTGCGATATCATCTCCCGCAGGAATGCAGGCTTATATACCCTTCAAGTGTCTTCTGAGCTCTAAGGGCTCTCCCAGTAAGCCTTGCCAGGCTTGTACCATAGGGTGCCCATGTCCAAAAGGCTCTGGAGTCGACCGAAGTTTGAGCTCCATACGTTGACTTCATTACGGAAATTAGGTGCGAAAGGCCACAGAGTAGCCTGTATCATTCGTATGTCTCCCAAGCCAGCCACCGCCACGCCTTCAAGAGAAAGATCTCAGTGAAGAGTACCAAACAGGATCGTATTACATCTATTTTATCATGGCGCCCTAGGTCTTCTCTAGGCTGTGTTTGCGGCTGGTTATCGTTGAACTCGTCAATAATGACCTCGTTGTGGACGAACAACGGATCGGGCAACGTCTTGGCCAAATGCAGGAGGCTATGGCATCTGAACGCCTGCACGTGGGTACCAGGGCAGGTGCATCTAACTGTGCTTATTGGCAGAGATGCGGACTGTAGGTTCAACCATCTCGAGGGAGACTGAGCCTCCTCGAAGTGTCTAATCATGCCCGTCTGCTATAACAAACATTACGTTAGTTAGAACTAATGACAGGAGTCCATAGGGCTTCGATTCTAGCAGAAGCAATTGCATTTTGATTTTGTGGGAACACGACTTTGCCTGCATGAAGTGTCACTAGGCTCTCACTGCAGGCAGCCAAATGTTGAAAAGGTGATATCGTTTCCTCGTCGATGCTTACACAAGGATCCCACGTGATTCCCCCCTCAAACAAACACTGCAAACTAGCTCTTCTTGATAGCATCATAGCGATGGAGGGGCATGGGGAGACGACAATTATCTTGAATTACCTTACCTTCTACAGCTTAACGAAGCTATATCACTGAGTTACTCCTTGAGCTGCGGGAAATATATCTTTATCAGGCACAAAGAATCAAGCCGAAGGTATGCTGACCTCGTTCGTGATATTTGCATTCCCCCATCTGCGGAATTTTGAGCCATACATTTTAAGACAGCCTCGACGGCGGGCGCACCATTGCACCTTGGACCGGGCAAAGGGCTCACAGCCTTTCAAAGGTTATACGCGAGTTGTCTACGGACTCATTCGCTGTAGCTCTTGCACATGTTGAGCACCCGAAAAGCAATTGGATTTTAGATATGTTACTTGCATGACATCATCTGAAATATCATTGCCCGCCTGGTTCAATGGAAGCTATGGTTAGGTGCTAGATAACTGACAAGTTATGTAGGCCAAATCATCAATATGGCACCACGCTCTCAACTAGAAATCGCTACATCATCTGTTGAACGTCTGGTGAAGGAAGAGGCCTCCTACCACCGCGAGCTCCAACAACAGACGGAAAGGATCCAAAAGCTAGAGTCTCAAGAGCCTGGCGAGGACGAGAACCGAGAATACATGCTGAAGCAGGAGGTGGGTCTCACTAGAGTAAAGACATCTCCTCGATTCTGACAGATGCAGCGCCTTGCACTTGAAGAGACCAAGAAGGTTTTGCCCAGTTTGAAGCAGAAGATTGATGAGGCTGTAGCAAAACTTGAGAGCCTTCTGGTGAGTCGTGTCTGTGATTGCGGCAGTGTGACTATTACTGACATTCGACAGGCCGAGGAGGGAAAGAAAGGCCCCGAGAGCAATGTAGAGCAGATCACTGCTGGCAAGGAGGCCATCGCAAAGGCTAAGACGGCTAAAAGGGAAATCGCCTAGATGCGATGATGAGTACGGATTCTCCCAATGCAGTGTTTTTGGAGATTGTGCTGCCTCCGTCGGGTAGGACTAAACTGACCAGCCAGAGACATTTGGTGTATAATAAGACAATTTTGACGAAAATGTGAACGCCTCCAGCCTAACTCCATGCTATATGACCCCAATTTATGTATTTTAAGACTCACGTAGTGTCCATCCTGTCAGCAGTTTTATCATCCGGTTCAGCCTCTCCTTCTTCCAATTCGTCAGGGTGTTCTGACCCCTCCTCTCCGGTTACTTCACCTTCGTCCATGTTGGTATCGTCTTGGTCCGCGGTGGATACGTTTCGCAAGGGAGACGCTGCCCCTGTTGTCGCAGACATTCTCTCTGCGTGCAAACCAGCTGAAGATCGGCCCGCTTCATCCTGGCTGTGCTGAGAGGGAGTGACGGTATCGGACTCTGGTCGAGGTGTATTGGCTCCGCTAGATTTGCCTTTCGAAGGAACATCCCCTTCATCTCCATCTTCGCCTTCTTGCATACCCTCTCTGCGCTCCACCTCCTCCTTCTCATCCCGAATGAGACGCCGAAGCTGCATGCCCTCTTCTACAATGCGGCCAAACTGTTCTCGCCGCTCGGCCCATGTCTTGGCATATTCCTTGCTTTCATTCTCGAGATCTGCAATTTCTGCTTGAAGCTTCTGTAGGTTCGCCTGCTGATCTTCGCGTGGCTTTAGAAGCCTGTTGTTTGTGATCTTCTCGGCCAGTTCATCATAGCTTTTCCGTAATGCTAGTAGCCGTTGAGCTTCCTCAAGTTGCACCCGTAGTTCTGCTGTGTTTTCGCGAACGGCCTGCATTGTGGATAAAATCCGAAGCTTTTCGGCGGCATACCGCTCGCGTTCTCGCTCGTTGCTCGTAAGGAGAAATTGAATGCGCGCGATACTGCCTTCAAACGAAGCAAAATCCAGAGTCACATCCTCGCGGAAATTGCGCCATTCATCCAGCCTTTTCTGCTTCTCAGCTTCTGCTGCTGCTGTAGCGTTCTCGTCCGTTTCGTCAGGCGGTGGGGTAGGAAGGATTGTCGCATTGGAAATCACGAGTGAGCTTGGGTTAAGGAGTCGTTTCGATATACGCTTGAAGGGTTTCTCTTCGACATTCAAAAGGCGTAACTTGTGTAGGTTATCTGGATGCCAAATTTAGTGTGGATGGAAATGAGCTTGAGGAACGATGACACCAACCTTCCTCTGGTTGATCAAGCAAGCCGTACGACGCCATCCTGTTGAATCTTGTAGTGGAGAGCTGTGGTCAGTATTGATTGCAACAAAATTAACCGCAGTCGAAGATTGTCCAGCTCGTGGCTATGAAGGTGTTACAGGAAAGGCCGTGTGAGCGGTCGGAGAAGCAGCTAAAAGCGGCACAGCTTGATCTTTCGGCATGCGCCCGATGTTGTGGTTCACCCCCCAGTCTCCTTATCGGCACTTTTCAGACTACCCCAGAGGTACTTCTGGGCGAAAACAACGGCTTACTAGTGCTCTTCTTGCGCGTACTATGCCAGATCACTATGCCATGGCAGTGATGCCAAACACTACATGTGTCATTTTCTTGATCAAACGTACAAGCTCCCAGTGATCGGATAGAAAGGCGTGCCTTCGTGTGTGGACAATGCTCAGAGCAATTGGTACGGCCTTCCAGCAAGCGCTTCGCCTAACGACGTCCAAATGCACCACTGATGGAATACGATACGTGCGACCACAAACCTTGCCCGGCTGTTCAGTGTAGTCGACCGCTGTCATGACGGAGATGTACTCGGGGCTCCATGTGGGCCAACGATTCGTCTCGCTGGAAGAGTTCAAGTCAGTTGTGCGAAGTATATCAGTCAGGCAGCATTGGGAACTTCGGGTGACCCGAAGCAACAAGAAAAGCGTTGTCATAGGGTGCCGATCGTCCGCCAATTGCTACTTCCGCGTTGTCTGCCGTGCAAACAAAAACGAGACTTACATAACGAGCCTTCAGGATAGCCATAGCTGTCGACGGCATGCTGCATCCCCAGGAGCAACTCCAGCCCGGTCCGAGGCTTCGCATGTGCGGTTCTTACTAAACGAGATACCAAAGTTGTTTGACCTGAGTCACAAGATCAAGGGACAAGATGTTGTGGATGCGGTCAAGCGGTATCATGGATATGACATATCCATAAGACAAGCGCACCGAGCGCTCACCAAATTACAACCAAGGCTACCACATCACCAGAATGAGGAACCACGGGATCGCGGTTTGAACGGGGATGGCCAACCGGGCCCCCAAGTTCAAGTTCACGCGACGCCGTCGGTCAATGGCTCAGTTTACAGTGCCATTTCCGAGCAAAGATGGATTCCCGACAATGTTCATCAGTCGGGATTCCTGGAAAAGCGACCTATCGAGCTGACAGATGACCCAAGTCTCGAATCTCCGCAACCAGCAGAGCTTGCTCGCGATGCTGTGCAGCCACAGATTCCATCACAACGTCCGCAGCCAGTGCATGGTTCATCCCAAGTACAACTTCCATCCGGGGCACAACCACAGGAGCAGATTGCGCTCAATGACGGGCTGCGCACGACTGATGAGCAGCAGTCAGATTACATACTATCGGCACCTACAGTACTGTCTGCACCACAACAAGGGCCGTCTCAATCTCCCCAACAGCCACGCAGCAGTGGACATCCTTCTGCGCCACAGATGATCTTGACCAATTTCAAGATCGAGTTCACCTGTACTTCTTGTGGAGCTTTGAATCAAAGCTTTATCCCAAATCAGGGGAATATAACTGGTGGAGCGTACTTGCCTTCAAATAACGTAATCAACCATGGTCCTGTCGGCAAAACTACAAGTGCTTCAATGCAGTCAGGTGCCAGCGGTGTCGAACGTGTGGCCCAGACTAATGAATATGTGGAAGCTCCTTCAGTCAACGCACGAGGCATACAGCCGCTATGGCAGCCGGGGAGTGTCCCTGTTTCAATTCCGCCCACACATACGTGACCATGTCTGAGGAAATCTACCGGACTGCCAAAAACTATAATCCTCTTCAAGATGATTCTCGGATCGTACCACTCTCTGAGCGCCTACTCTACAGCTCCTTGAATCTGTGCCTCAAAGTTGACACACTGAACCGCGAATCTGTCAAGATGAACTTATGATCTCTGCCGGCCAGATCGGAACTCAAGACAGAATTCATGTATCCTTCTTACTGTTCCTCAATGAAAGCCCTGTTGCATACGAGGAGTCATGAATGATGATGGAGATCCGCAGGCCTCGGTCCTGTTGATACTGACGCAGTTACTCTGTTTCCGTGACATGACTTTGTTGCGGGAAATCTCACAACTATACTAAAGGTGAGATAAGCCACCTTATATATGCATCATCACAAAAATCCGCTTATAATTCAGACACCGGACGTACACCTTGACGCGAGAATACTTGGAGCGCCACGTGACGTAAATAGATCCATCTGTGGTCGGAAAAGCTTGAATAATGTGTCCGAGCTGTCTAATTGCGACTGTGGACCAAATATAGAAGTGTCTCCATCTACTGAGCGATGCCAAGCAGGTCTTCTAATTGAGACGCCCTATATTATTCGATTCATTCAAGGCCCAAATCACTGTGCGGAATTCGGCACTGATTCCATCGGACGTCCGAAGGAACTAACGGCAAATGCCGACGACAAGTCTCCACATCTGTCTTCCGTGTGCACCAACAATCATTCATCTAGGACGCGGAATTGGTCCGGTCTGCCAATCTTCAGTTGATATTACCTGAAAATGTCCTATTCTGACACTGACCATGACTCTGTCGGGAAAGAATCCGCCACTGATGGAGGATAAAGGCCCCCTCTGCTTGAATTGGGCTGTGACTGTCATGAGAGGTCACTCTTGATCGACCGTCCATTGGGCAGTGCGATGAAAAAATTTCATCTTTGTACATGCCAACTCACTGTTGAAATGGTCTCTGTGCAAAGCGCCGAAATCGATGTGCATATCTGACTTGTCCGCCATAAAGTGTTTGACCAAAATCCTGCTGCAAACTTGCGCTCGTTGGAGATCCTGTCTCAAGACGCAGCTTATGGTCTGGAGTACATTACCTATTTTCAACTGTCAATAGCAGAACGATTTCTTGATACCACAAGCTAGACCACAGAGGCGCTCAAACATGAATCGACAACAGGCGGCGGAAATGGCCTTGCATGACCAGATGAACATCCTACCAATCGTACAGTTGCTGGTAGTCTTCTCTGGTCTTGCTGTATCTCTCCTCATCACGTTTGTGGATCAAAATGGCATCAGCGTTACTCTTCCGACAATTGCCAAAGACCTCAATGCGGAAAATACCATTTCCTGGGCGGGTACCTCGTCGCTGATCGCAAACACAATGTTCAGTGTGCTTTACGGACGTCTCTCTGATATCTTTGGTCGGAAGGTTGTTTACTTATCAGCACTCGCCCTGCTGTGCATCGCTGATTTGCTCTGTGGCCTCTCGCAAAATGCAGCAATGTTTTACGTCTTTCGAGGCCTTGCCGGTATTGCAGGAGGTGGCGTCGGTTCGCTGACTATGATTATCGTATCTGATATTGTGACCCTTGAAAACCGCGGAAAGTATCAAGGGATCCTAGGAGCATCGCTGGGACTGGGTAATGTGATCGGCCCGTTTATTGCGGGAGCTTTCATCATGAATTCCACCTGGCGAGGGTTCTTTTGGCTCATATCTCCGCTCGCAGCATGCTCCATGGTCGTTGGCTTTTTTCTGATCCCGAATAACGCCTGTAAGGGTGGCGTGCGGGAGAACCTGAGCAAGATCAACTTCTACGGCATCATTGCCTCATCCATTGGGATCATCTTTTTGCTTATACCCATATCAGGTGGTGGCTCCTACTTCCAGTGGAATTCTGCAATGGTGATCAGTATGCTTGTTATTGGAGCATGCTCATTGGTTGCGTTCGTCTTCATCGAGTGGAAAGTGGCCTCCCTGCCGATGCTTCCAGGTGCGTTACAACTCGTGCCGTTTGTAAATTCAAGAGGAGCTGACCTGTGGACAGTGGTATTCTTCAAGAACAAAGTTTTATGTGCTTTATTCTTACAGAGCTTTCTCCTTGGCGCTGTGTATCAATCGTACCTCTATTATCTGCCACTGTACTATCAAAACGCACGAGGGTGGTCTCCCATAGTTTCTGCCGCTATGACTGCTCCCATGGTCGGTTGCCAGGCTCTTGCTTCCATTGCATCCGGGCAATATATTTCTCGAACTAAACGGTACGGAGAGGTGATATGGGCTGGTTTCGGCCTGTGGACTCTGTGAGTTTTCCTCGACATTAGAGATTTTTTCTAAGCGTGGATCCTAACCCGTCGGCTTGAATTATTTAGAGGTGCTGGTCTGATGCTGCTTTTCAATAGCCACACGCATCGCGCAGTGATCGTTGTCATTGTCGCTATTACCGGTATCGGTATCGGATGGACTTTTCAGCCAACCCTGATCGCTTTTCAAGCTCATTGTACCAAGTCTCATCGAGCGGTAGTAATCTCAAATCGAAATTTCTTCCGTTGCCTCGGAGGTGCTTGTGGACTGGCCGTCTCCGCTGCTATCTTGCAAGCAACACTCCGATCAAACCTACCGAATGGATACCAGTACCTGGCTCACTCGACGTACTCTCTTCCCCCGCAGTCGGACATATCCGCTTCGGACTGGTCTCAAATACTCGATGCGTATGCAAAAGCCTCAAGGGGCGTCTTCATTTTACAAGTGCCTCTGATGGGGTTGTGTTTCGCAGCCTGTCTCTTCATCCGCGATCGAGGTCTCGAACGGCCAAAGGAACCAGGGGAGGAGGAGGAAGAACGGAACACTGCACAACAGAAGTCAGATGAAGAAGCACCTTCGAGTGAGCCTCCTGAGAAGTTCGACAAGGGCCATAATCATGAAGCGGACGGCAGGAAGAGTTGATAGGCCCACATGGCTGGGATGGAAATGCTTAAGAGTCGCATCGTACAGTGCAGTGATTTTCGGATGGCTTTTACCTCATCTTTGATAGCTTTAATAGTTCTTGGTGGCAGCATTAGCGGCGTTTGTTGAAATCGAGTAATCAGATACCATTTTTAGCTGTACATAGAAATTTGACGAGAATGATCTCTCATGATTTGCGATCATGAGTAGTTATATCATACAATTAATAAGCATATCAACTATCGTCTTCAAGCAACCATTTGACTAGGAGAATGGACCCTACCCCGAACCGGTCCAGTTACCACGTCTTGGCATCGTCCACAGTCTTTTGACGACTTCGTGTCTTCGTCAACTTGGCGAGCATCCACTTGACATCAATCTTAATCCAGTGGCGTTATTCAATCAGCAACAGAGAAGATGTCTATCTGCATAATCTGTCAAGATGGATATCCCTCAGCAAGTATCAAACTCAGAGGCGCCTTTCCCCTCAAAAGATCACAACCCCCGAAAGCGCGTTAGGACGTCATGTACGCGATGCAAAACTAGGAAGCAAAAGGTCAGTCGTTGTCTACTGGGTTTGGTCTATCATCAGGCTGAGCGATATAGTGCGATAATGATTATCCGGCCTGTTCCAACTGCCGCAAAGCTGGGGCTTCGTGCGATAAATTGACGGTTCTTCGACAGGAGAGTGGTCAATCGAATGAGTGAGTCATCTGTTCCGATCACCAGCTCTTTCTGACGATAATTATTCGGAGCACTAATTTCATAAAGCTATACACGCACGCTGGAAGAACGCATTGCTTATCTTGAATCCCAGCTGGAAGCGAGACCACTAAGCAACAATGCCAGCAGCAACACCGATCATCCAGTTGCAGCACTTTTATCTCCTCAGAAGCACGAGGCCGTCCCTACGTCTTCTTCGAGCTTGAACCACAACACCGTTGGGGAGCTTGTTGGCTTCCTTGCGCTCAACTCCGCAGAAGCCCCCGCCTATGTAGGCTCAAGCTCCGGGCTCTCACTGGCCGCCAACCTCAGCGAAATGGTTCAGGCAACTGTTTGGAACCAAGTTCTCGCGCCATCTCGTATCCACCAGGTCTCTTCAGGCGGTAGTGGTAGGTCTGCCGCTGGCCAGGCGGTCACTTCTACAGGTCTGCCTCCTCAACCGTCCAGCGGGAGTCAGAATGTCCCTGACCATCCACGACCCCGGCGCATGGAGGACCTGCTGGTCAAAAGTACTGAACCGCCGAACGACGAGATGGGAACGCGGATTTTACATGCGTACCTGACCAGACTGCATGTGCGCTATCCATTCCTTGATCGTGCGGAGCTGTGGAAGCTCCATGGAGCGCGATGGCGGTTGGCCAAAGCCAAACGGGAAGAGCTCACCAAGGCTGAGAGATTTGGTCTGTTTAAGTTGTACCTGGTGTACGCGATTGGGGCGACGACGATTCAACTCAGCGAGAAATACACATATGTGCCTCCAGAGGTATGTCTGCCGCAGCTTTCTTCTCTCGGCAGGACTAGACTGACCTTGTTTAGCGGTACTACATCACTGCTCTACAGCAGGTTCCTTCTATGTGTGAAGTACGGTCCATCGAAAATATAGAGGCAATGACTCTTCTGGTGGTATATCACCTTCGCTCAGCATCGAGCCATGGCCTCTGGTACATAATCGGGCTCGCCATGCGCACGGCCATTGATCTCGGCCTGCACAGGAAAGCGAACGAGATCAATCTGGACCCATGGACCGCGCAGATGCGACGACGACTTTTCTGGACAATCTACTATCTCGAGAGAGTCATCTCGATGTCTCTTGGTCGACCCTTTAGCATCGCAGACCGTCAAATTGATCTGCCCTTGCCGGTGGACGTGGATGACGACGTCCAAGACCCCGCTATACTGACCGCCCCTCCCCGGACCGACAGGATCACTTCCCTAACGTTCGCGATCTACTTGTTTGAGCTTCGTCGGATCGACTCGAGGATCCAGCACAAGATCTACCGCGCCGACAGGCCACTACACACGCTCCGCTCGAAGATGGACCGTCTCTTCATCGAGCTGGAAGAGTGGAAGAGATCTGCCTTGCAGCGTTTTAGCGGGTCGGACCTGGACTACCCGATGCTGCACTACAACCGTGCTCTTCGACTCCTTATCCAGCCATTCCTGCCCTCCCTGCCCCTCTCGGACCCCTACTACCACATCTGCCTTCGTGCAGCTGGTGACATCTGCCAGACCCACAAGCGGCTCCACCAGACGCTCGAGTACGGCCATTCCTTCCTCGCCGTCCAGACCGTCTTCATGGCCGGCATCACTCTGTTGTACGCCCTGTGGACGCACACTGACCAGGTGTGGTCCGTGCAGATGAGCAACGACATCCGCGCCTGCTCGACCGTCCTCTTCGTCATGGGCGAACGAGCAACGTGGGTGAAGAAGTACCGCGACGCGTTCGAGATGCTCGCCAACGCCGCCATGGAGAAACTCGAGGGCAACAGCGAGGCGGCCAAGAAGGTCGGCATGGCGGAGCTGATGACCGCGCAGCATGGTGGTGCAAACCCCAACCTCCAAAGTACCACGCCTGGCACGTTCACGGAGTACCCGGCAACTGATTCCAACACAGCGGGGCCGACGAATACCCCTGCTCCCGATCATGGAGTGCGGATGGCATTTCAACTTGCTCCGTGGATCGATCTTGAGGAGGATTGTCCGTTTTGGATGCCGGACTTTGAAACTCTCGAGGGGTTCTCGGGGAACATCTGGGGCGGTGATACTATTGCGCCCTTTGATCCTCTTTAGCTTCCTGGGGTAATGAACCCAGAGATATGTGACTGAATTTGGTTTTGCAAAAACGTTCCATGAAGCTTAGAGTCGCTTTCACCCAGATACCGCCTACTGCGATCGCCAGTTGAAGATTACATTGCCTTATAGGGGTCATTCCCATAGCCATAACTAGGGGCGTGTGCACTCATGAAGATATGGTCTATTAGCTATGGTCATTACGGCATATACATTTCCAGATTACTTCAACAACTTTGGCAGCTCATCCACGCTGACCTTACCATCGAGGATGTCTGTATTGGTCAGCAATGTCTTTACATCCAATACGACTATTGTAGGAAACTTACGATTGACTGCATTGAACAATGGAAAATCGTCCAGCTTGCCATGCGTCGACAGAAAATCGCACACGGCGCGAGCAGTCGAAGTCCCCTGCAACTTTTGCCCGTTCAGCTCCGACTGCTCAATCTCGTCGACGCTCACACCCTTCTCGACGGAGTGCTTCGCGGACCGGAAATTACGGCCGGCGGAGCACGAGGCGACCAGATCCGCAACGCCGGCGCTCTCCTCGGTAAAGGTCTTCTCGTTCACGGAGTCGGGGAACCAGAAGCGCCCGAAGCGGATCATCTCCATCATACCGATCCGGATGATGGCCGCCTTGGAATTCTCACCCCAGCCCTTACCCGCGACGAAGCCGGCCGCCAGCGCGACGATGTTCTTCAGCGCGCCGCACAGCGCCACGCCCGCCACGTCGGCAACGACATGCACATGGAAGTACGGGCGCTCGAAGAGGCGGCGCAGCAGCCTCTCGTCGACGCAGGGGTAGTCGTCCGGCACGCGCTGCAGCTCAGCAGAGGTGGAGGAGATCTTGCGCTGGCGCTGCTTGTTGATGACGTGGCGGTTATCCGGGGAGAGCTCGTCCTTCGCGTCGAGGTCCATGGGCGGCGGGTCGTAGCCGATGGTGGTCTCGCAGAACTCCTCGGCGGCGACCTCCGGGGCGATGTTGGCGCCGGACAACGACCCGCAGTAGATGCCTAGCTTTTCCATGATGAGCTCCGAGAAGAGCGTGACCCGCCCGTTCGCGACCTCGACGCCCTTGACGCACGAGACGGCCCGCGCGTACGGCAGGTGGTGGCCCTTCATCTGCTCGAGCGTCTTGTCGATGAACTGGTGCGGGAGGTTGAAGACGAGGATTGTGGCGTCCTTGACGGCAGCGCGCAGGTCTGGGCTGGCCACGACGTTGCTCGGCAGCGCGATGCCAGGGAGGTACTTGACGTTCTCGTGGACGCGGTTGATGACGTCCGTCAACTTGTGCGTCTGGTCGCCGAGGGCCTCACGGTGCGGCGAGTCTTCAGGGATGGTCACCTCCTCCTCGAACACCCACATCTGCACCTCTTCTTCGAAGACATCGGGATGTTCGCGAGTGTTTTCGGCCAGGATTTTGGCGATCGTCGATCCCCTGTCATCATCAGCCACTGCAATTATTTATAAATCCTAAATGAGACTACGAAGTAGAGGACTATACCAATTTCCCGAGCCGACCACCGTAACCTTGTGCTTTTTACCCGTCATTTTGCCTAGGAGGAATCATTACTGCTGTTGCAACCTAGAGAAAGACATGGCGAGGGCAGACCCGCCATATATACAAATAACAAAACCATAACGTAACAATTGATGAAATCACCTTGCCAGTCACATTCAAAACAGGATGTGTGAGGTTATCCGCTGCCGCGGTGTTCAAGATCGACGTCATCAATACGTTTGCTCACACCAATTAGCTTTGTAGCTTTCGGTACATAGAACTTACCAAACTATTGGATGTTGGATGTGCCAGTAGTTGGACGTAAAGTGAGAATGTGCATTACTACAGAGCCATGAACATAGTATTATGATTGTGGTATCCAGCACGTGTAACCAGCCAACCACCCCTGCGATGGAATAAGTTAATAACAGGATGAAGTAGCACCCAACACGAGTACTACCTAGTATTCTATGATATATCTAGTAAGAACAAAACGAGCAACCAGTCGGGTATATGTCTACATCACAACGACGGCGCAAACGTCTTCAGCCCCTCGCCTATCCGCTTGATCTGCCCCGCATAATACGACTACAATAACCAACATTAGCATCAGAGCACCCAGACAGAGGGACAAAACTTACACTCTCCAACCCCGCCCCAACCGCCTTAATCGGCAGCAAACTCAGCAAAAACGGCGGCTTAA